GTTATTTTCACCACAGTTGCTTGAAATTAGCTCAGCTATAACTTTGCGGAAGAATGTATACCTTAATTTATTCAAACAAAAAAGTTAGATTTTTGATTTTAATGATAATAGGAACCACCCTAGAATTCAATGTCATAAAAATGAGGGCCTAATTATAAGGAACAACTTTGTAGAAGAGACTTTTAGTCTAAAGTTTCAATTTCAGGCTCAAAACATATCATTCCAGCTAAATCTGCATTCTGGACCACTGTGCAGTGCACAAAGTCACGTGGGTTTCCCGTGATGGACATACCGAGAATCAGATCGACCACATCTGCATCAGCCGAAAATGGAGACGGAGCCTTCTTGATGTCCGGAATAAACGCAGCGCCGACATCGCGTCTGACCATCACCTTCTAATCGGTGAAATCCGCCTACGCATGGCGCGGATCCAGCGACGGGAGGAGAGACTCGGGCGGCGGTTCAACACACGCCGACTTGAAGATTCAGTGGTAAAAAGGTCTTTTGTTCATGAACTTGAGACTCGAGCTGCGGACGTTCCAGAAGGTGGCAGCGTAGAAGAACAATGTACGGCCATCAAGAATGCCTTTATAGAAACAAGCGAGAACAACTTGGGTGAGCTGCGCACCCAGAGGAAAGAGTGGATCACAGATGAAACCTGGCGGAAGATTGAGGAGCGTAGAGAAGCAAAAGCCGCGATAGAGCGGGCGAGAACCAGAGGAGCCAAGAACGAAGCCCGTCAACGGTACTGGGCTCTAGAGAAGGAAGTCAAGCGCTCTTGCAGACTGGACGAGCGAGCGTGGGTGAACTCCCTGGCCGACGAAGGGGAGAAAGCCGCAAACACTGGCGATATACGACTCCTCTACGATATCTCACGACGCCTGAGTGGAGCAAGGATGAACCCGAGGATGCCAGTGAAGGACACGACTGGACAATTGCTTACCGACCCCACTGACCAGCTGAAACGCTGGTTTGAGCACTTCGAACAACTTCTTCAAGTTTTGACGGCCAACCAGTCATCAACATCTCGGCATGATCCGCCTAGGGTGCGGCGCATCACTCGCGTCAATTCCGAGGCCCCATCACTGCAGGAGATTGAAGCAGCTATCCGAAGCATGAAATCCAACAAGGCTCCAGGGGTCGATCGCATATCAGCAGAGATGCTCAAAGCTGACCCCATGCTATCCGCACAAATGTTTCATCAACTATTCTGTAATATCTGGGACACCACGACTCTTCCCGCCGACTGGATGCAGGGCATCTTAGTGAAGGTCCCAAAGAAGGGGGATCTGACTGTGTGCGACAATTGGCGAGGCATCATGTTACTGTGTATTGTTCTCAAAGTTCTGTGCAAAGTTATCCTGAATCGGATACAGGAGAAGATCGACGCGACTCTCCGACGGCAGCAGGCAGGATTCCGTGCCGGAAGATCTTGTGTGGACCATATTGTCACGCTCCGCATCATCCTGGAGCAGGTCAATGAATTCCAAGAGTCCCTTTATTTGGTATTCATTGACTACGAAAAAGCTTTCGACCGTCTCATTCACGAGAATCTGTGGGGCGCCCTGAGACGCAAGGGAGTCCCGGATAATGTCGTCAACCTCATCGAAGCGCAGTATGAGGCTTTCACGTGCAGAGTTCTGCATAACGGAGCGTTGTCCGACCCTATCCGGGAAGTCACTGGTGTGAGACAAGGATGTATACTATCACCGCTACTGTTTCTCATCTTAATCGACGAGATCATGGTAGGTGCAATTGACCGTGTACCGAACCGTGGGCTGCTTTGGCAGCCTATCACCATGGAGCATCTCAACGACTTCGATTTGGCTGATGATGTTGCTCTACTAGCACAACGGCGCTCTGATATTACAGGACCCTTAAGTAAGTAAGTCTGATAGCAACGACCGGTGTGGAGAGGGGTGATTAAGCCAAAATGGAAACGCTGTGCGTAAGTAAAATAGTGCAGCAGTGCTTTGGGCTGGGCGCTCCCAGTCACTGTGCCTAGTATCATGTTGCATTTCAACAGCTACTTCCTTCGATTCTGACGGGAGCGCAGTGCTGTGAAATAGCAAATTCTTGAGGTTAGTACTGTACGTAACTTTAAAATCAGCATACTTTCCCGGAAAACTGCGCTTCCTCTCGCAAATTCTCTTCTCTCCCTGTCCACTAGAGTGATGCAAAATTTGAAATTTTCGCTCCACAATACTTAAACGATTCCAAATCTGATCCTGACTAACCTCTCAAAATTTGAACCCATTTGGTGAGAAACTGAGATGTCTATCTAATAATTCACCATATCGGTTTGCTTCAAAAACTTTCAACTGTACTTGTAGGAAATTTTCCCAGCTACAACTTTGCTGAAGACCATTTTTTGATTAAATGCAAGGATCGAAAGTTATCAATTGTTGAATGCGCTGATGTCTTATGATCATGCTCAAACAACTGCTCAGCAGGCAACATTGGTGTTTCTGGGGCGTTGAATAGGACACAAAAATCATGGCTACTATATGTCACACTGCAAAATACAGTGTTGCCTACAGAGCAGCTGCTTGATCATGTCATAAGTTTACCAATCTCTTAAATAATTAATAACTTTTTTCTGTCTCGTTTTACATAGAAACGAAATTGTAGCTGAGAAAATTTTCTGTAAGAATTGCTATCGAACTGTTTCGCAGCTCAATATGGAAAAAGACTAGAAGGCAATGAACAAAAAGTTGAGATTTTCCATAGTAATTTACATGTAAACTTCAAATGGTTTGTGCGAAGTCTGTTTCTAACCAAATGAGTTGTAACTTTTGGAGGCTAATCAGGACCCGATTTGAAACCATTTAAGCACTGTGGAGCGAAAAAGTCAAATTTTGCATCAGTCTACTGTCCACCCTGCTGAAATCTACGTCCAAGTCGTCAATCTCGTGTTGATTAGCTTCCAAGAAAACCAGCGGTCCAACGGTTGAGTCTGGACATTCCACCATTGACAGCCTCGCTACCTGACTCTCATCCAGTACCACCACGTCTCGGCTCTCGAAAACTTGCTTGCTCTTCAAACTTGCAACACTCCGAATAACCAATCAAAATGCATGATACTGACTTGGGGTCCCACTTCTTCCGCTTTACCTTTGATATATACGCCATAACTCTCGCTCCGATGACACGTAAGTTCGATAAATCCGTTTTCCTTCCCGTAAACTTCTAGAAAAGGGGGGATTAGAAAACCCTTCGTTGGTGAACGATTGATTTGGTAGACCGCTGGCGATGCTGCCTCTGCCCAAAAATACTTGTCCAGCTTGCCGTCGAACATCAGACATCTAGTTCGCTCTTGGATCGTTCGATTCATGCGTTCAGCCAGTCCATTTTGCTCCGGATTGTAAGGCACTGTTGTCTCCGTGACAAACTCCTCGAAATGCTTCCCGGTATACTCTTTGCCGTTATCAGTTCGCAGGCACTTCAACTTCTTTTCAGTCCTTGAACGCACCAGACGCATGCGTCTTGGACTTCAGAAAGTAGAAAAAGGTCATTCTACTCGCATCGTCGATGAAGGTAACGAAATATTTGTTTCCACCAATTGAAGATTTCTCCATCGCTCCACACAAATCCAAATGAACTAGACTTGACTGGCGACTTTTGATGGTTTCCTTCGACACAGATAACACATGATGACATTTCGAGATATCCATTCTCGTTCCATTCGGGATGTCCATTCCCATCACCATGCCAGGTAACCGCTTCATACTGTTTACATTTAAATGGCCCAATCGCCGATGCCGTAGCTCCAGATTAATAGCCCACACGCACTCGGTTGACCAACCTGGTTCATTCTCACGACCCATGCCAATGACTTCTCCCGTTGACTCTTGTTTGATCTGAAACGACTATCTCGTGAAATTATATGCCAACAAGAACACTCTCGTCCCTACACATATGATCTCCAGTTCCGGAATCCAGTATCCAATCCTCTGCTGATCTGTTCTGCTTCTTACACGCCAGTTAGAGTTACCTCTATGCCAGTAGTGCCTTCTTTTGAACGTCCCGAGAACCCTACTCGGTCTTGAAATTCGTCGACTTCTGTGGATATTCCGACGCGTAATGACCAAGCTTCTCGCACTTGAAACACCTCATATTGGACTTGGCCTTCTTCTTGTCGTCTGCTTCGGACATATTGCCAATGCCCGCTTTATCCGCCAGAATTCTCGATTGTCACATCCTGGAGTATTTTCGACTTGACCCAATCTGCCGTCCACATGACTCATGATGCGTCTATTCCCATCGTATCGCTTTGGCAAATAAGGATCATAAGGATCAACGACATCCACTGAAATCGGACGATCATCAACAGAGGGATGTTCGATCATAATAAATAATTTTCCAAGTGTTAAATTTAAGTGAAAATTTTCCAAATCAAACACAGCCTTAGACGGCATCGGATGCTATGTAGTATAACTCCTCTTCTTTATTTAGTAAGTGATAAACGATATTGATTTTTAGACTGTGTTCCATTTGAAGAATTTTCACTTAGGCGCACTTCGAAAATTAATTATTATGTTCGAAAATCTGTCAGTTGCTGATTGGCCGATTTTCTTTCTATGAAAATGTATATTCCGACAGATAAGGAAATAAGTCTGCTGGAATAGCAGATGTATTTGTAAAAAAATCATCGGTCAAATTTAAGTGAAAATTCATCAGCCTTTACTCCAACTTTAATCAAAACGTTTGAAACGAAACTCTACATCGTGACGATATCTTCCATCCTGTAGACAGCCAGACACATCTCTAGTTCAATCAGGTTCAGTCGACAGAAAAACTGGCATTTTATCATTTCCAAATGTCCTACCCCTCAAACAGTATCCATAGTGATACATGTGTGTATGCGGTTAAGCAGCATACACGCCTACTACGCTATCAGCTGATCGCGTTCCGCGTATTTGCAACAGTTGACTGAAGTACCCCGACAGTAGAGCAGGCAACATCCATCAGAGACAGCTGCTTTGTTCCTTCAGATAGAAAAAGTGCGTACTTTAGTGAGAAACTGCGTGCACCAGCTAAACCGTGTGTTCCCATCCTGCTGTTTCAAATAGCAAACCACGATGGCGAACGTTCGCAACATCCGCTTCTACTACGATCTGATATCGCAACCTTGCCGAGCTTTGTACATTTTCCTTGAACAGAACAAAATTCCCTACGAAAAGTGTCCCATCGCGCTGCGGAAATGTGAGTGCCCTCTAACTGTTATTACTCGCGCTGCGTATCTCTCAATGCTATTTTTGTGCGTGTGAAGTGCACGTGGTCCCGCACGCACACACTCACGTGTTTCAAAGAACCCATTACGAGCGGGCGTTTTTTAAACATGAACTTTTTTTCCAGGGGAACACGCCACGCCTGAATATCTGCAAAACGTGAACCGCTTCGGAAAGGTCCCCGCCATTGTGGATGGCAAGAATTTCAAACTGGCCGAAAGCATTGCCATACTGCGGTACTTGGCGCGGGAATTCGACGTCCCGGATCATTGGTACCCACGGCACAGCCGACAGAGGGCTAGGGTCGACGAATACCTGGAGTGGCAGCACTCCAATACTCGGTTGCACTGCGCAGGATACGTACGATACGTATGGCGAGGACCGTTGCGAGGCGAAGCCGTTGAATCCAAGGTTGTGGGGCGACTGCGAATGGAGATGATCGGTTGCTTGGATTTCATCGAATCGAATGTGCTGCAGTCGGACGTAAAATACATAGCAGGCGATGAGATTTCCATCGCCGATCTGGTGGCGGCCTGCGAGATTGAACAACCAAGTGAGAGAAGCAATTGATAGAAGTAAGAATGCGAATAAATTATTAATCGTTGCAGAACTTGCCGGATACGATGCACGTGTGGGTCGACCAAAGCTGACGGCGTGGATGCAGCGGGTGAAGGAGCACACCCAACCGGACTATGACGAGGCGCACGAGGTTTTGCATAGATTTGCGCCTACTACGACGTGATGGAGAGAGAGATATAGCGACCTCTAGACGATTTGTTAAGCTTAGCTAAATGATGTGTAATTTATGTTTGCGCTAGGATAGTATTATCGAATTAAATGGCTTTAATGTTGCACGTTGCACGAAGTTCTCTCGGAATGTCTCTTGAAGGTGATTTTGACGCAGGACTACGTCAATGTGGAAATAGTGTTTGGTTTTCAACGTTTATAAGTTAATCATTTATAGACGGATTTCGATTCTTATTACATCATTTGATTAAGATGTTACGAATAATTCGTTTGGTGTTAAAATTATGATTGTTTAGCAATAGTAAACTAATGAAAATTGATCAAACTGTATTGCCAAAATCAACCAATGAAGTTCTTGCGACGACTAACGAGCGTAAGGAAGACAGACGAGTGGATAGTGAATTCATCGGTGTAGAAGTCGTGCTTTGCTTAACATCAACAAACTCTTGGCCCCAATGATGGTATGGTTGCATATTTGAAAAACACACGTTGGGTCTCACAAGACAGGTGAAAGTCAAACACCAGGGCTGGTTGTGAGTCATTTTTTAGTGAATTGGTCACTAAAGTCAAGCCAGTCACTAAAAAGTCACTTTTCCTCGTAATCCAGTCACTAGTTTCAACTTTTTTTTAGCGTTATTTTTTTTTTCAAGATTAATCACTCTTCTTGCAGTGTGTAGAATCTGATACCTGGACCCCCACTGACCGTTTTTAAGCTTCCTAATGCATTAGGAAAAAGTTACGCATTGTGCATTAGCAGGTCAAAAAAGACCCAAACTGCAACTCACTCCCAAAAATCCATTTTTGAACCGATTCTTGATTCATTGGCCTCATATGAAGGATAAAGGTACCTAGAATGGAACCCTGTCTGGGATTTCTCCAATTTGGCAATTTAGGCTACCTGGCACCGATTCTGATAGGGCACAACAGGACACTTCCTAAACCTCATGAACTGAAATCGTTCGACGATTCAAAATTTATGATTTTTCATGCAGAAGTAAATAGACATCATGCCATGGACGAAAAGGTTCCGGGTATCCAGATGTGGTCAGATCCACTTTTCGGTCCATGGCATGATGTCTATTTACTTCTGCATGAAAAATAACAAATTTTGAACCGTCGGACGGTACCAGTACAGGAAGTATCCTTTTTGGGGCCCTGCCCTGCAGTTCTGGATATCCGGATGAGCTCAAATCCACCTGTTTATTTGTGGCATGATGTCTATTTACTTCTGGATGAAAAATCATAAATGTTGAGCCATCGGACGGTTCCATTACATGAGGTTTTAGAAGTGTCCGGAACTGGTTCCAGGTATCCAGATCCACATTATGGTCTGTATGGTCAATGGCATAATGTCTATTTACCAGTTTTCCAGGCTTTTCCAGAACTTTAACGGATAATTTCCAGGTTTAAACCATGGCTCACTTAGCAATGGAACAAACTCTTTTGCTTATTGCAGCGCTCCGAGTGGACGTTTTCGGAAGCTTTTGACGTCTATTTGCTGTCAACAACAATAGACCTTTTGGACGTTTAATCATCTTTCTTTATCTAGCACACACGGATGAATGGACGGTTTGTTTTCCCACTAATCTGTTTTCCTCTTGCTCGCACTCGTTCGCTTTAAATGGTACAGTAGTGTGCGCCGATTAAACGTCAAAAAGCTCTATTACAGTGTATTTTTTCCAGGCCAGTGTTAAGGCCTATACAAACAGCAGCGTTTGAGCACAAACGAAGTTACATACGACTTTCTCCGAAGAAATGAATTAAAATAATGTGGTTCTCTGTAATAGAATTTTAGTCCACCTTCCGCCCCTCACCGCCAGGTTCGCTAGTATTTTTGTTTTGAATTAATTCAAGTTGGTTTTGTGTGCAATGATCTGGCAACTCGTGTCCTTGCTCGTGTTGACGGGGTGCTGTTTTCTCACTCATCGAAGGAAATTTTGATTAGAGTGAGAAAGTAAGGAACAGTCAGCGCGGGAGCCGTGTGCGTTACTATAGGTGCGGCAGAAGGAATGTAGTCGACTCTGTCGTTCTCACGGTGTTCTTACGCATGATCCAACGTTTCGTCACACTAGATTATGCATAAGAACGTCGTGATAATGCAAGTGCTGGCTTGTTTCCTTCTGCCTCACCAATCACATTGATCACAGCACATACGATTCTCCGTCGGTTCGTGGTGCATTATGCATTCTTTGTGCCATACCACCAGTCCAAACACTAGAAGTTTTGGAAGGTTCTCCCTCAGTACCTGTAAGCAGTGTGATACCAGCTGACATTCGCATGGGTAGAGAAATCCGGAACATTTTCTCGCTTTTGAGCATCAACGTCAACCCGGTCTCGAATCGCATTTCCGCTTGAGGTGGCATCGTTGGCAGTAATCTATTGCGCCGTGGGAAAGACCTGCTTAGTGCACGAGTGCTGGAAAATTCTGCAAGTTCGTCATTAAAATTAAATCAACTTTTCTTCGCTGTAACGTACTCCGGATCAGATTCGCTGGTGGAACGTTTTCGTGGGACGGTTTTCGACCCAAAAAGCTTCAGTTTGAACTGCTTTCTAAAAGATTTCTGGGCAGGCGTCTTGGGACGCACGATCTCCACCGAGGCATCCGTTAGCGTGTTCGTGTCGGAGCGGATGACCTGTTTGATCGGCTGCAATTCTACCATCGATTTTCGGCCCTGCTTTTTGTTTAACTTCACACGATAGTTGAAATCGAACACGGTCGACGATCCGGCGGAGGATGCTTCGTCTTCATTCTCCGAAGAAGTCAACGATTTGATCTTTTCCGAGCTGAGCTTCTCGAGCCTTACGACCGGTTTGACTCGAAGTAATTTTTCGACGGAAGTTCCTCGTTTCAGTGGAATCTTCTTGACCAGTTCCTCCAGACTGATTTCTTCGCTTCGAAGAAACGAACGAGGAAGAACTAGATGAAGACGTGGACAGCCGTCATTTCGACGTTGGTTTCTTTCGTGTAGAAACCAGATCGGAATCGCTGTCGTCACTGTCTATTGCGGTTCTCCCTGATGGAACGGAAACAGACAACATTTCCGACTCATTCATGCGCACTGGTTGCATGGCCGCGTTCGATTCGTTTGACCATTTCACTCAATACTCGGATGAAATTTTGGACCTGCTAGAGGACTTCTCATCGCCTGCGTTTGTCAATCCTAAGGTACTGGAAGCGGTGGAAGCCGGAGATTCGGACCGTCGTATGAGTACGTCAATCAATGTTTCGATTTCCGACCCGGTGGCACGGGTTGTGGAAAGTGATGGAATTGCCGGTATGTTTACGGATGGTTTTACCCGAATTGGACCAAGGGTTTTTAACCGGGGCTTTATTTTTATATGGTAGCACACCCAGCGGAAGCCATGCACATCCTAAGCATTGCTGTTCGTGACATGGGCGATATGGATGATTTACAGATGGAGCAGGTATTTGGATCGTTCTGCGCTCAACATCGTGAAGAGCTGCTCACCCGCAGAGTTAGGCGGATTACATTTGCCGCACTCAAGAAGTAAGTTTATTAAGTGTTTAGAAGAGGTTAATGAGATACTAAACCAAATATTTTTTTTACAGACGTCAATTCCCAAAATTCTTCACCTACCGAGCACGAGACAACTTTGAGGAGGATCGTATCTATCGTCACCTGGAGCCGGCATGTGCCTTCCAGCTGGAGCTGAACCGTATGCGAACGTACGACCTGGAGGCTCTGCCAACTGCCAATCAAAAGATGCACCTATATCTTGGTCGTGCCAAGGTAGCCAAGGGTCAGGAAGTGACAGATTTCCGTTTCTTCATACGTTCCATTATTCGTCACTCGGATTTGATAACCAAAGAGGCTTCATTCGAGTACCTTCAGAACGAAGGTGAACGCGTGCTATTGGAAGCGATGGATGAGCTGGAAGTGGCCTTCTCGCATCCCCACGCCAAACGTACGGATTGTAATCACATTTTCCTAAACTTTGTTCCAACGGTTATAATGGATCCGGCCAAGATCGAGGAGTCCGTGACCAAGATGGTGATGCGGTATGGGCCTCGGTTGTGGAAACTGCGGGTACTGCAAGCTGAGCTGAAGATGGTTATCCGGCAGACGACACAATCGCCAACTACCTCCGTTCGTTTGTGCATAGCAAACGATTCCGGTTACTTTTTAGATATAGCAATGTACACCGAAGTGACCGATCCGGAGACGCACGTGATCAAATTCCAAGCATACGGTAACAGGCAAGGACCCCTGCATGGATTGCCGATTTCTTCGGCCTACATGACCAAAGATTACCTACAACAGAAACGCTTCCAGGCTCAATCCAATGGTACTACCTATGTGTACGATATTCCGGATATGTTCCGCCAAATGACGGAACGATTGTGGAAGGAATTTTCCAAAGCGCGACCAACGGAAGATATTAGGATTCCCGAGAAAATTCTACTCGTGTGCAACGAGTTGGTGCTGAAGGGTGATACGTTGGAGGAGATTCAACGGTTACCGGGAGAGAACAACGTTGGGATGGTGGCATGGAGGATTGTACTGGCTACTCCAGAGTTCCCTGACGGGCGAGAGATTGTAGTCATCGCTAACGACCTAACCTATTTCATCGGATCCTTTGGACCTCAGGAGGATATGCTATTCTGTAAGGCGTCGGAACTGTCTCGGAAGCGCAAGTGCCCTAGGATTTACATTTCGGTTAACAGTGGTGCCCGTATCGGATTGGCCGAGGAAGTGAAATCCTTGTTCAAAGTGGCCTGGGAAGATCCCGACGAGCCGGAGAAGGGATTCAAGTATCTGTACTTGACGACTGAAGACTACAGCAAGATTGCAAATACGAATTCGGTTCGTGCCATTTTGATTGAGGACGAAGGAGAGCCGCGATATAAAATCACTGATATTATTGGCAAAACCGATGGGCTCGGTGTGGAGAATCTGCGTTATGCTGGTATGATTGCCGGTGAAACTTCGCGAGCGTATGAAGATGTGGTAACGATTTCGATGGTGACCTGTAGAACGATCGGTATCGGTTCCTATTTGGTACGTCTTGGTCAACGTGTGATACAAATTGAAAATTCTCACATTATTCTGACTGGCTTCGCCGCGCTGAACAAACTATTGGGTAGAAAAGT